ACGATTATTATTATTATTATTATTATTATTATTATTATTATTATTATTATTATTTAGTGTTATTTTAGTTTTCAACCTAACATAACTTCAATTTCATGAACATTATTTTCACACTAAAGCGTGTTCATTTGAAAGCGCATGCAAAGTTTTGGATCCGTTTTCGTCACACTGAGATGATCAAAAACACTCATCGTGAATGAGGAGTTCTCTCGTATGATTATGATGGACAGTGAGATCAGATGCGGTAAAAAACGCTGACATCATTTACATTACATGCATAAACGCCGTAGCGGTTGCGCGTCAGCGCTTCTCAGTTTCAAAATGGAGACGAGAAAAACGTTGTGAAAAGTGTGGACGCGAAGCTTGTGACGGGTTTAAGCTACGAAAACAGCTCACCAGAAATTTTCCCTCGTGTTTGTTACAAAAAACGGGTATTTTATTTTGTTTCCTTTTTATTCGTTTCTTGGTTTTTCTTTTATTTTAATGATAATTGGCTGAATATTTTATTCGTAATATATTTACTTGCCAGACGCAGACTGAGAAGAGGACTACCAATGAAATTAAGAGTCGAAGAGACTGACGCATCAGCAAACCAAACATCAATTAAGTGTTGTCGTTGTCGCCTGAAGTCAAACAACTGATCAACACACAACTGATCAAGACACGACATAGAACAAATTCACCTGTAGCTTCCATAACTTGGGCACACAGAAACACTAGTCTGAAACACAAAATAGCCAATGCAGAGGACGTAACTGCAATGTTACCCTAAATTGAAAAAAGTCAATCATAGTTGAGTCCAGTGGAAACTATATTTCGATAGTTAAGTCCAACGAAGACAAAGAGTGCTAAATGGAGTTCGGCAGGTAATTCGGTTCAGGGTCAATAATAAAAAAACACACACAAATAACACCTCACGGCCTATATATATTATCTCGTAACAGGATTTTCGATCCAAAGCAGAGAGAGAGAGACGTTAAGAACGGCCGGTGGGTGAACTCAATATATACAAATTGTGCTTAAAAGTCAAACATTTGGATTCAAGAAGAGAGTCCACGCTCTTGTTTTTGAATTTCTTTGCTCGAACTCCTGCTGTGAAACGTTGGGCCTTTGGTTACACAAGCAAAATACTTTATGCAGTCGTAGAATCGTTTCACACATAGCCTAGCCCGCTTATTTTCTCAAAGGCAACTAAATTATCAAATAGAAAGTGCCAAATATCATAATGGAGAATCACATACCATTTATTCGGACGCTGTGACGCAAATGGCGCAAGCAAGAACAGTGTCCAAATTCGAAGTGAAAACAGTGAACTGCTGCGTTGAACCAAAAGAAATGATGCTTGATTTTCCAGTAAATGAAGGGAAACTTGCACAGAAAAACAAGTCAAATTTAAAATGAAAATTTTTTCAGCCGTATGTAGAGGGTACATACACCTGTAACAAAGACAATGGACACTTATCTTTCAAATCAACAACCTGATGCCATAAGGCCAAGCTTCGTGGCAGATGACAATCATCACAGGATATATCACCAACTTAATAAAAGTAAGAACAATGTGGATGAACCGCCAATGCCAACAACACACCTACAGGTGTAGGTGACAAGATCATAGCTGGATTGAGGTGGAAATTTCCACAATCGAAACAGTATTATCTCTTATAACCATCATGATTGTAGCCTTCTTTCAGCTCACCTCAAAGAAATCCAATGTTACTTATCTCATGAAGCTAAAGAGGAGATTTGCCTCATCGATTTTAATCATGATGAAGTTCTGCCGATAAGCATGTAAAGACTGTAAAGTGCGCTCTAATACAGCGTAATCTAATTTCCTGGGTTAAAAATTGTCCCCACCGATTAACTATTCAAACTGAGAAGATAAAAAGTGTTAGAAGTTATGATAGTTCTAAATAGCAATAAACAAGGAGAAATAATGTAGAGACTTAATAGTAAGGTGTCTTAAGATCAATGACTTGGTACAACAAATATCGTAAGAATCTGTTGAAGGTAATAAGTCCGATGACCACGAAAGCCAGACTCGGACACCATTGTAAGAGACGTCACGTGTTACCGAAGGCGCTTGCTCCATCCCGGAAGGCGTTACTAAGAACCGTTTAAAGCAGGAAAATATCCGCTCGCTTCAACACTGGTAATTATTTTCAAATTAAAGACAGAAGCTGGCTTCTTTCTTTTTTCAACTGAGAAACATCGAAAGACCGAACGCGTGCAAAAATATTTTTTTCCTAAAGAGGGAACTTCAAAATTTGGGAAAACTCGTCAAATCATATTTGTCACGGCAACCTCAAGTTCTGTTGAATATGTGCCTCATATAGATTTAAAGATGGAAACAAAACCACTGAACGGGTTTTATCTAGAGCTAAACCACTTTTTTAAAATTCTGAAGAAAAAGAAACCTTGTAGTAAAAGCTTAAGATTCTCCTCCGAATGCAATTTGTTGAAGAGAAATTTACACTTAAGATCTTTAGAGTCACTTAAGATCTGTAATAACCTTTTTATTTGGTCTGGGGGATATAAAAAACATCATAAAACGCATCCACGATAATAGCAAATAAGGTTTAAATTAATTTGCGTGCGTTCATTTTATAGCGGAGCTCTTGTGCGCCGAGGGTGCGCGAGTGGAGCCCCACGACTGGGAAAATTTGGTAACCTATCGAGCTAAAAACTGTCCGTCCGCACGTCCGTTCCTGTCGCCCACTGTTTTACGATCGTCCCCAACTACAAAGAGCCTGAAACAGGCTACCGTCCTTCCTTTCTAACGTCCGTAGACACGTACGCTACTTACACAAATTTACAAGCTATCACGGCCTTGTTTTCGTTCAAGAAACAAAAAATTACCACTTTTGGTGTTAAATGGAAATAAAAACACCAAACAATGTGTTTAAGCGGAACCGAAGAGGAATATCATGAAGTAGAGTGGCATAAAGACCTTTCTGGTACAGAATTCAACTGTACGTCAGTGTTTTGAGGCTTTCAAGATTCCCAAAAAAATGGTAATGCACACTATTGTTTTGAAGTTGGATTCGATTTTTTAAAGGACAGGTAAAAGGAGTCAAAGTGATTGGGCAAAAAGCATTCAAATTACGTTTTAGCGTAATTAAATAACAATTATTCACCACAGTGGAGGTACAAGGTATTGGTGGATATTGTATCCCATGCATGCACTAGCCTCAGACACCGAGAGAAGCAATTGTCCAGTTAGTATATAGACCCATACCAAAGCAGTAGGATGAAGTACCCGAAAAACATTGACACAGAAGACGACAGAAAGTCCTCCGCGCATAAAATGTACAGCGGTGCAAGATTAAGTCACATGATTCATCAGGATATCAACAAGAGAAATTACAGATGCGTTTCGCCTGTTTGGTGAAATTACAAAACGCGAGCAACGCGGATCGTAGATCTATCGAAAAGAATAGTTCAGTTCAGTCCTCACAAAGTTTACTAGAAGTTAACGCCCGTCGCGTTTTCTAAAACTTAACTTGCAGGCACTTGTCATGTTGCTTCGAAAGGAGTTGCAAAGTCTTCCGGATTTGAAACCATACTGTAAGACATTTTACAAATATTTATTGTTTTAATTTTTCTACCATCTAAACAACGACACTTGAGTTGCTTTGTCCAAGTTGTCGTCTGAATTGCAATTGTAAACTAATAAAAGTTAATCTTGTGTCGGTTTTCGCCGAAAAATCTCACGGCAAAAATAATACAGCGGCATCTGTAAATACCGCAAAGCTTCTAAATGACGAAGGAAAAAGGCCATCCACAGCATGTACGTAATTTGAAACGGTTTGCATTTGCTTAAATCATAGGTAATCCAAGCATAATATTTGCATTAATGATATTTTTTAAAATGAATGAATTTGTATGGAATTTAGAATTGACACTTTGTGCCGATAAATAATATCGATATCACGAAATACGTTCACGTAACTTTATCTAGTGTTGCTTTCTATCGCTACGTTGTCTCACTAGCTAATCTAAACGAGTTTTGGTCAATGTATCCTACCTTTTGACTGCCATCGTTGTTTAACTATGCTGCCACGTGCCGCCACAGTTTAACTTGCTGAAGATAGGACGTTGCATTTTGGACGAGTCACTATATTACTTTTTTGCTATATAACTGGTATAACTGGCTGACTGGAAAGTGTATAAGCGATTTGTCTCATGTCTCCTGGAAGAAGGGAAATCGCACACTGCAGCTGATGTCGCAATAGCGAAGTAGCACGCATAATATTTAAATTATCTCAAAAACATTTGCATATATAATCCACAGGGAATTATATATCTACACCAGTGGCGGAACTAGGGGAGGGGCCTGCCCCCCCCCCCCTTATTTTGGGTAAAAAAAGAAATCACAGAAGGAAGAGAAGCTGGCAGGGCAAGCAAAATAACCCCCCCCTCCCTTTGCTCAAGGTCTGGATCTGCCACTGAAATTTGACCAAAAGTGACTAAGATGGGGTCAGTACAATTGAACGCAGGATAATAATGGGGTAGGGGTTCTCAGAGGCCAGTGGCACATACCCAGCAAAAATTGGTCCAAGTACCCACCTCCTCTGTATAATTTTCTTAGACATGGTGATGCAATTTCTACCCTGGCATAGTAGATCATAGTTTATTTTAACAAACATAAGTAAGCTTAAAACTTACAGGGCGGTCACTGAAACAGTCGAATTCCTTTACGAAAATATCCCTCAACATCTCTGGATCTGCAACCATAAGGGATGGAATCCTGCCAAAAATAGCCGCCTCAAAAACTTTGCCATATTTTCGGTAGTATTCATCGACTTGCAGATGCATTTGTCCCTTGTACCTGAGAACATCCGGCAAGAGACCCACAATCGGCAAAGGAGTCGGACCAGGGATGTCTCCGTACCGAGTTTTCACTGTGCGATAAAATGCAAAGACATATACAAACAACAAGATGGCCGAGGCAATCAAAATTGTCTGCCATTGGGAAAATGCTTGCAGAACTTCTGTAACCGCCATGTTACCAACAAGAGTAACGTAACAGCACAAACTGTAACAAGCGCAGAAGGCCTACTTGAGATATGGCAGGGCAGGAAACCCCGAGGGCAGATTAATTTTTGCAACGCAGCAAAACTAAATCTCGATCTCGTTCCCAGAACCTTCGTAGGAAGATTGCGTGACGAGCCCAAAGAACGTCTGCGTAATCGCAATCTGTCTCGTTTTCATGTGTCACAGGGACTGTCCCCCTATTACATGTAAAATAGACGCCTGAAACGCAGGCTACAGTCGCTACAGTCGCTACAGCTGTGATGTTGTCAAGTTCTCTTCGAATGCTCTTCCCACGAAAGCTACGGACGAACTTCTAAACAATTCCTTATCTAAACGTAAGACAAATTCTGCAGTAAAGAGCTTCGACTGCTGCGTACCAGAGTTAAAAAGATCCGGAACTTTCGGTTGAAAGTTAAATGGAACAGAACAGAAACCAAACAGAAGTAGAGACCAACGACGCACGGTACGGCCGTTGTCGAGACGTGGCGCGAAAGGGTGGAGACCCTCCGCCCTCGTGGCTTAAAAGGAACTTTTTCGTGTTTTTCGTTTTCTTGTTTTAGTGAGATTCTGGAATTTTCAACGATTTTATTCCTTAAATTTGACAATTCAAGGTTTTTTGATACTTTTACTGTGATTTTTTGGAGTCAAATTTACGGCTGCTTTGAGATTTCTGAAAAATATTTGAAATCCAACATGACGGATCCAACATGACTTACACAATGAGATATTGAGTGTAAGGGAGTGTAAGGTAAGAAGCTCGCGTTTGTAAATACTGCTGACTCCCTTACATGTGATAATTGTCGCGGGCGATAATTGTTCAGTTCAGAGCGGAAAAACCCTACTTGTGGGCTCAGGTAATAATGCAAGCTGCAATCCAGCTGCACGGCTGACTGTAATAAGGTACGCGAGGATGTCGCTCGGTTAATTTATACTTGGACAAGCATGAATTATTTTCGGCCTTTTACTGTTCAGAAAAAAGTCTTCCCTGCCTACTGAGAGGTTTTCTTACTTACATGTTCAGTGGGTTGCTTATATGGATCATATGGATGCAATATGTAAAGAATGTTTGTGGATAAAATGTGTCTTGGCAACGAAATTACTTGTGTAGCGCGGGGAAATAAACCCGGGGGAGGTACTTTGGGAATTTCTGGGTGGGATGTGCCGCTGGGACCCTGGAACCCTTAGCCTATACCAGAGGTAGTTCAGCTGAATTTTACTACCCTATGCTAGAGTAAACTCCCCAAATCCCCCCATCTATCGACACTCTTGAGGCTGATTTGCGTAAATTTAAACTTGCTGATTTGATTTTTTAATATATTTGAGTGGCAATTCCTGGTTTCTTTATGTCTAGATAAAATCTTCAACCAACTAGTCAGTTTTGTGAAAAATGATACCCTATTCTAGACCCAAACGCTCTGATTTGTATAATATTTATTTCTCTCGAAGATATTAGCTAACAAGCTACTCTGTAAATTCGAGGTTAAATAAAGTATATGTATGTATGTATGTATACCCTTTACAGCGGCACATACTTATATAGCCCATATATGGCTGTGCCCCCCTCCCCCGGGGAAATAAAGGGTTCGAAAACGTCTTTAGGTTTATTGTCCTAAAAAAATTGATTCCCCAAGAAAACAAGGCACCAGCTTTCCATTAGTGACGTTAAAATGTTGCTGCTAACCGGGAATATTGGGAAAACATACAAAGTTCGTGACCTTTTCAGTTTTTACAATCCACGAAATTCCCGCCATTTTTTCAATCTTGGAGCCTGGCGCACAGTCAAAACTCGCGCATGCTTATTACGTTTTTCCGCTGTGAATGATAATTGTAGAATACTTCACACCATGCTAAATAGCATTTTTATTCGTTTATTCAAACCAATAATTCATTTTCCCATGGTCCGCTGAAACGACTCAAATAGGGTTACACACAGTTAGTACAGAATTACCCCAAGAGCGCTTCCATGACAACGTTACCAGGAAGTTACATGCGCTGTCATGTTTCCTTGGGTCTTGAAACAATACTAAGATTTATTTCCGGGCTCCCCAAAGTCGCCTTGGCTTTTACGTCAGGAGGAATCTTTGTATCCGGTGCGACTTCCAAGCGATATTTCCTTAACATTCGTGCTAACACCAGCCTTATCTGCATTTTCGCAAAGCGCATTCCTATACAGCTGTGTGGTCCGTGACCAAACGGCAAGAAACTGTAAGGATTGCGTGACTGTTTGGCTGAAGGTGCAAAGCGCTCTGGGTCAAACTTCTCCGGGTCTGGAAAAACCGCGGGGTCTCTTTGTATACTGTAAACAGGAATGAGAATGGGGGAATCTTTGGGTATCTTAATGTCTTTGATGGCACATGCTTTAGTACAGCCGCGGGATATCATGAATCCTGAAATAATAAAATGGTAAGATTAGCCGATACAGAGCTTCAAACCTGCTCTCTACAATCTTTCTTCTTCCGGATGCCACTCCCCCCTTCCCCTCCCCCCGCTCCCCGCACTCCCCTTAGCAAAATGCATATGATTATCCAATGATCGCAAACACACAGAAAATGAAGATATTACTCAAAGAACACTAAGTTTTAAATTGAAAATGGCGATTATGGTGTCTGAGGACAAAGTTGTAACTTGCCTGTTCCAGGCGCTTGGCATGGTTAGTTAGAGAGCCGTATGTATAGAACGGGGAACGAGTGGAAAAAAGGCGATAGGTTTGGTTCTTCTATCCCTCTCTCTCCTCCTTCCCCTTTCACTCGTCTCTACAAACCGAGAGCCTGGAACAGGCTAAGTTAGGTTCACATTTGGGTCACGCGCGAAGCATCAGGAGAAAAACTGGAGCGAGCGAAACGAGCTGAGGTGGAAACAAGGCAGCGAGAAAACTCGCTAGTGGGAAAGCAGGAACTTTAGAAGGTACGATCCCCGTTGGCTCTGGCTCTCTGGCTCACCGATCCGTTCTCTTGTGTGAGCATGCTGACGGATTACCAAACGGTTGTAATAGTAACAGCTTGAAGGTATGTATTAACACCCCAACAACAGTGTATTTATCCCCAACTTCCTTACCTGGCGGGTAGAGCCGGAGTGTCTCGGATATCACCATGTCAAGGTATGGCAGCTCATTTACTGTTTCATAAGTCGGCACCTGTTCCTCCTCAGTCCACACACTGTCAATTTCTTGCTGCAGTTTGTCTTGAACGTCAGGGTTTGTGGCGATGTGGTAACACGTCAGACTCAGGGTTCCACTGCTCGTTTCATATCCAGCAGCAAGAAAAATAATGCTCTGTGCAAGGACTTCCGTGTCTGACAGCTTCTTTGACTCAGGGACAGAGGGGTCATCTGAGGCTGCCA